CAACGTCAAGTGAGATAAAGGCGCTTTACAGGTAAACGGACTCAACGTGTGTCTCTTACTAACGTCTGAGACACCGCAACGGAAATAGTCACGGCAGGCTACTAAATTTACCCAACCTCCAAATGGTGATTTTCGCGTCTTTGAGTAGTCATGTGAGTTGTAAACCACACCACCATTTAGAGAGCCTTACTTGATTGGTGCTTGGCATTTGTCACCAATTTAAATTCTTCATTTACTCGATTGCGCCTTTTGCATTCAAGAACACTTGACTGGTTCTTCTGTGTTTCAGCATTGACCATGATGTGTGATCAGGCGTGGATCGAGGAGTTGTATGGACAATCTTGTCTTCTTAATTTAAACTCGGTAGCGTGATCCGGTTTGATTTGCTTTACCTCCAGCCGTGTTGTCAAGCCACTTGAGCAGGAAGTGTTTGTTTAAAAAGTAATCGATCAACAATCGTCTGATCAGAAAATTGTGATTCTGAGGTCACTTTCTTGGAGAGTTATGGAACCACTTTGTGCTGCATAAACACATGACTTACGACTTTGAGCGACCGTTCTAGTCTACGTTGCAATGATCAAGGCTTGCTTCTTTTGCCATTATCACTATGCAGGCAAGTGATTGAAATATTTGTAATTTAGCAGTAGCCGTAGCATCTGCACTCAATTTTTATGCACAATATAGCAGCAAGTCCACCTAATTATATATCTTGTTGGTATTGGAAATGGTAAGGGGTGCGGTGGAGGCGCAGGCTGCAGCCATATCGGATTACTCCATGATCTCAACCAATCCTCCGGGTGTGTATGCGTGTTTCAATGGTCAGTGATGAGAAGCAGCTGTTAACCAAAGACACCTGTGTGATGAAAGGCGCAGCCAGTAACACGGATTCGGATGGGCGGCGCCTGTCGGACGGAGCTGGCCTGCAATATGTCAATAAATCCTGTCCTGTTGCACCTGTCTTCAACACACCAGGGGGGGGGGACTAATGCACGCTGTGGCCTCGCGGTAAATCGTTCATCTCCGCTGCAATTGGTCGGTGGGAGGGTTCTGAATCCCCGTCTGAAAATGCGCGCTTTTTTTCACGCTGCTAGGTGAAGTTATTCGGCATAAATTAATGCAACCCATCCCCATGGGGGAGATAACATCCTACGAAACTCACCAACCAGGTGTGCGCATTTAAGTTTTCGTGAGAGTTGGTTGGTCACTTCTTGGAATGTTTAATGACTGCCTCAACAGTTCGGGGTTTGTCAATATCATAAAATCATGATTTGCATGCAGTAGATAATCAATCACTGACTTCAGAAAGCGAACGCAGCCAACTCCTTACGAAACCCGCCTAATGGCCCGATATCAATGAAATCGATAAATATTGTCACCATTTTGAAGGATAAATTTTCTAAGTCAAATCAGCTACTGCATTTTTGAGGGAAAATGTTTAACTGTACCAAACGTTTTTATTTCAAAGTAGCTACACATTCCACAGGGAACCTAAAAATTTAGCATTTGGGTGAGTTTTCCATAGTGTGGGCTTATATTCGCATACACTGATTCACTATTCCGGTGACAAGTTGTCATAGCAACTAATTGCAAAAAATAAGACAGTGACTGGCTCAGTAGGCCTCTGTGGCATTTTTTTACTTTTTCACACTTGGGGTGTAGATTTCGGGATTTGGAAAGTGTATTGGTTAGGTGGATTCTTCAGAATATGCCGAAACTCGTGTTTAACTTGGATTCTACCCATCCCCGACGCCGAGATGACGGTCAACTTAAAATCAAGGCACAGAAGTCTACAACAAACAATGTTCGATAATCCTGACTTCGCATGGAATATGTGGCCTTATCCACAGTCTATGCTATTTGGATTTACAGCCCAACTTTCGGCTGCACTGATCCAATCACTCAGAAGGGGGCTGCTGTGTGCAGGCACAAATTAGGCATACAATTTTGTTTATAATGGTAAAAAATTTACATGAGTAAAAGCGTGAATATGTACAGAAGGGGCCCATCACCATGCGGGTTATTGAACACAGAGCAAAAGAAGTCGGTGGGGGGGGAGGGGGAGAAGGGGTCAGATTCCAAGCTCAACACGGGACGTGTCGTCGCCTAGTTCCGTAGCTGCACAAATCGTTTCTTGCTTCGCTGCTTCAGTTTGAGCAGGGTGAAGAGGTTATCGACTGTTTGGGGAACGGACTGAGGCTCCGGGGGAACCGGTGGGGCGGGCTGACTTGGTTGCGAAAATTTGGCTGCAAAATAAAAGACCGAGGGCTGCTGATAGCGAGCCTGAAATGGCTAAAGATGTTACCTAAATCTTGCCCGTTGTGATTTGTTTGTCGTGTTGCTTTTAGTTTACCTGAAAGCTCGTCAATGGCTGGGGGGATCTTGCCAACTACCATCACCTTCAGCTTGTCAAAATACGTAGCTTGTGCTTTACCAATTAACACACAACCTGCCTTCAACTCTTACCCAGAAATCCAGCTCGTACTGTTTCCAAAATCTCCGGGTCTTCTATTATCGTCCTGAAGAGGATTATAGTGTCGGAGAGGAGAGCTTCAACTCCTTCGTATGAATCGATTCGCTGAAAGACATGTAGTCAAGAGTCAAGTAGTCTGATAAAATGGAGGGGGTGGGGGTTGTGCAGCTTGGGCAATATCACCCCAATACAATGTTACCGAATATCGGCTTACATTTGAACCTGCACTAGTGACCGAAGGAACGACGCGACGTAGATTGGTCAGGGTTTGGTCCAGACGAGCCAACTGCGAGAGTCGTCGCTGCCTCCTTTGACCCGATGCTTGAGATATGTGGCGATTTCGGGTGCAAGTGGGCATTGGTGAGAGTGAGGAGGAGGAGAGGGCGTCTCTACGCGACGTTGGTGTGCACCTCTTCTGTGAATTAACAAAAAACGACTTATTATCCTCCATTTTACCCCATTCAAAGTCTCATTCGTCCTTGTCGAGTGGAAGACTATCATAGTTTATTGAAAAGTGGTTGAGAGACGAGTACAAATTATGGAATCTGCAGCACTGTCGATGAACGAGCCGGAGTCTAACCAAGGTGGCACAAACCCGAGACTTCCTGGAATGCTGTCCCTCTAATGAAGGAAGTCCACAATATCGGTTCCTTTCTGAGTCCCACAAAATCTTTCCACATTTACCAACTCTTTTTGAATTTAACCCTCGTTGATTTGTCCTGTCATAGTCCAATCAATCGACCACCGGATTCCACGCATGTCTAAATTGGGTTGACTTTGTGTTCGCCCTCCCCCAATTCATCCGTCAACCTCGTCTCTACACGTTAGCATTGCAACTAGAATTTTTTGCTTCCAATTAAAATTGACGAGACATGCCTTAACCCGAAACTCAGGTTTTCACTTTACTTGGGCTTAAATGAGGTTAATTCTGGAAGTTGTCAAGGTAGCAACTAAAAACGCGTCCTGTGCATGTTCCAGCCTGCTTCTTTGTGGTCCAACACTGAAAACAATAAATCATTATGATTTTCTGTGCGCGTTGTCACTAGACGTAGTCACTTCCTTTGAACTCATTCCTTAATTACGGCGCTAGAGACAGAACCGAGCATGTGGAAGGCCTAATTCAGCAGCCCGTTTCACATGTTGCCGAGGGGGCGACGTGTGGGAGGGGAGGGGGTGGTGACTTGGACTAACACCGCCACCCTCGTTCCTCCCTTGACAAATTGGTTTGTCCAGATTCCCTCGTGGGTGGTGTTTACATGTTGCCAGATTGTTACCACCATAGTAACCAAATGGCAGGGACACAGCGTCCCGTCTGTCAGTTAGTGGCCGATTCCCAGACCAGCACGTCTGCAACTACGGCGAACCGGCTTCAATCAACCACCGAAAAAATGTGGCGAGTTTTGCTTGGGTCGGTCCACGGGGCCTCCACTTTTTAAATTACCATGATCGAGTCGTCGGCTTTGTGGTTGGCATTCTGCTACGTAAACCTCTAAGCAAAGCACAGTCCACTTCAACTAGCAAACATTCACCCTTCACAACTGAATTCTCAATCCTCGTTAATTGGCCACGAAAACGTCCGTGCTTGTGTCCCGTCCCGCCTGTTTTTTTCGAACAACCTTGAAAAGGGATTCGGGAGAGTCACAAAATCAACAAAAAATAAAGCACGTCGAGTGTGCGTCAGCAGGGTGATAATTGGGACTACCTGTGCTCCTAATTGCACCCAAGTGATTCACCACCCTTCATGTCATTGATAAAGCAACTCCGGACGCCGATAACACCTCACCAGTGAGCAGAGCGTAACAGGTGGCCAGCGGGGATGCGGCTAACGTGGCGGTGGCTTTTGTTGACTTTAGGCTCTGATGATGGGGTCGCCACAAATCCCTTGAGAAGGAAATCTTCAAATGCGCTGCTCCCCGGGTATTGATGATGGAAAAAAAGTTTTCCTTTCTGCTCTGCAGGCACGTTGGCGTATTTTGCGAGTAGTGGGCTTGTGATACCGAACAGGCTAGTTTTCTAGTATTTAGGTGATGGAAACTCTGTCATTCAAAGCTGGATGTGGTAGAAAACAGCCTTCCACTCTGTTCCTATGCTTCTTCAGCAAGCGCCAACATGATAGTTCGCACTCTTACGTTAATGAAGAATTAAAAAGTGGGTTTTTATAGGTGCTTCGTTCACTAGTTAATAGAAGCAAAGGTTCCTCAGTGAAGCCCTGCCGTAGTTTTAATGTATTCGTAAGGCACGACTGGCGTTGGCAACCGCTGACTGAAATTTGCATAATACCCATGCCGGTCGTAAATCAACCGTTTGGAGTGAAGGACGCTAAAAGTGACAGAACGGAATTCCCCCTCCCCTCCCCCAACACCCTTCAGTCTTCTCTCGTTCCTGCTCTTCTTCTTGAGGTGATAAATTAAAAACTTGTCCCCTAGTTACCATGGTGCCCACGCCGGAGGGCAGGAGGCCCTTGCGTAAAGGGGACACCTGCTGGGGCAGAAATCGTGTTTGGACGTGCGAGGGAGTTGTTGGGCGTGAGAACGCGGACTTGACCTACCCCGTCTCAGTGCTGGCACTTTTACGAGGGCTAAAATGGAGCTTTTGAATTGAATTAAGAAAGGCTTGTCTTTCGAGAATGCAAGAAAACAAAAGGGGAATCTAGGCCGTTTGTGGCTCCGAGTTAATGGGCAAAACGAATCAACTTGGACTTCACGTGCCAGATTTGCGTTGTGGCTTACACGACTGCTGTAATCAGCTAGATGATATCGAAATGCGTGGCACCATATGCCGTCATACACGGCCAACGGACGACCACAACATCTGTCGAACTAGTTTCACGAGAGTGATAGTCATCATTTGCTCGTGGATGCGGGCGGGGGGATGGAGAGGACGGGGGCCTACACGTGCCCACACAGTTCTGCTCTCCCACCCGTCTGTCCAGCACGTGCGCGTGTCCGAAAACTCCCAAAAAGCACACGTTAGTCAACCCCAGCAGGTGTCCCCTGAGTCAATGTAGCTGCTGCATATCCCAAAAACCCAGGGAAATCAGTCAGTCTTCACGAAATTAACCACTTTAGCAGGTCATTTGGACCCACTTCCGATGAGTCGTGTGAACCCTCCACAATTGTTGCTCAAATCCAAATTCAACGCGCGCAATTTCCGTATTCTGTCACAGAGATTTCCAGAAATGAAAAAGATCGCAAGAATAGGATGAAGGGCCAAGGAAGTTCAGACGTAGGGGGCCGAATTAGCGCCAACCCTCATTCAAAAGCAAAAAAACGATTTTACACGTGGACATGTGCACGCAAATTCCCCCGCTGGATAAATTTTTCTCGAGTGAGGCAAAAATTGTAGACCAGTCAATTCTATCGAACACAGCGCCAAAAGTGGTAAAGGATAATCGTGTAAATTTTCCAACATATTTGTCAAAAAAATCGCAACAAATTCCACAGAATGTTTTATAAAAGCGCAAAATATTATATTTTACCTAGGAGGGATTGGCTGTGCATACACATAATTAAAGAGCAAAAAAATATACACCCAACTTACAGGAGATGGCATTTTAAAGAGCATTCACTTTGTGTGGGCGTAAACGTCCGGCTACAAACTGGCTGGCCGTAAAATGACGCCACGCGACCGTGCGAAGCCTCATGCAGCCAATGCGAAGCGAGCGAGCTGAATCAGCCAATGAAACTAATGCGCGCTTGTGCGCATGAGCCGCAAATGGGTGTGCGCGCGCGCACACCAACGCACGCGTGTGTTTGCACCGCGTTTGCCCTCTACGATGGCAGTAATTCCTGCAAATGACTCACTCCGCGGCTGTCCGCAATTCGGGTGGCTTCCCAAATCTGTGTGGAAAAAAAAGTCATGAAGGGACGCCAGGATGGAATCTCTCCGCGCTGGCACAGCCTCGGTGGAGTGAGGAAGTGTTGTCACACGGAGGCAGCGATCACCGTGGCGCCGGCTCAGGCATACTCAAAGAGGTGCCTGAATAAATGTAGAATTACGAGCAGTTGGCATTTCGTGATTGCAAATTAATCCAATTAGTAAGAGCTCCATCGGATTCAAACGAAAAAAGCTAAAGTTAATGTCGCAAGTAAAATCCTGCTTATTTTCATGCTTCATTGGCTTGATTGAGCATTCAGGGGGGGGGGGACATCGTTTCACCAACTATCAACATCCCTCCTCACCAGTAACTACTTCCAATCGTGTGTTCGCAATTGTTTCGAAGGTTTCAAATAATTAGATGGTCGAGAAATTCATGAATCCTTTTTATATTATCGAAATATGCTTGAGTGAATTTATTTTAAATCAATTCTTTCTCAAATTTCTCGACTCGCCCAATAAAAAGGCCCCAGTTTAAATTTCATGATAAATGTAGGAAAACACAGATGGAGGCATAATGTATCCACTTGAATTCCCTAATTTGAACGGTTGGTTAATTTGCGATGTGATGGGTCACTCAAGTTAAGCGAGATGAATTGGTCACTTCAGAGATAAACCCTTAGCCGATGGCACCGTAAGCCCAAAATGCTAAGCTCCAGAGTTGTTGGCAGGTGATTTCAGCATTCATTTATCATTTCCACTTCAAGAGCTCCGCAAATTTCAAACCGGAGTCGTGCACAACGAGGAAGTGGTGTCACGGTGTCTCCTCTACCGATGTGGCCGCTTAGTAGAGAAAAAAAATTATATTATGGCTTATATATCTCCTATTTTTGCATAGCGCCCATTGGGGAAAGGACGATGCTTCGTTAGCACCGCTATTCCCCCATCCGCAACGCGTTCGTGTCGGATATTTTCAGACATGTGTGTTGGCGGGATCCATAGGCGACTAATAGTCCAATGGGAAGTTTGTCGCCTAGCCAACGAGCAACATTTGATGGCGAATTAAGCCGAAAGTCGCTTATCAAGCAACCAGCCTTCTTAAGGAGTTAAACGCTGTTTCTGGGCCAAGTTATCGTTTTTTATTCCTCCGAGTTTTTCCCCAAAAGCCCAAGTAGATTCCCTTTAAAGAGCCAAATCCCAGGCATCTTGAGCGTGTTAAACTCAATTTACCCAACTTTGAAAATATAACTATGACTAAGCAAGTGCTTTTATGACTAAACTTACGAAGATTCGTACACTCGATCGGTAGCAGAAGGTCTTAAATCTACGTGGGCGTGAAAAACTCAGTTCACTGGGTAAAACCCCTTGCATTGTTTAAATGGATTTTGATCGAATTGAAATACCACTTTTGTAAGAGTAAATAACCCTTTAGCCTTAAATAATATTTTAAACGAAATTGGGAGACAATGGTTTGGAATTACTCTTAGTGCATGACCGCGTCAATCTCAGGGAATCAATTTTTTTGCTTATACTGATTGCTCGCAAGTTTATACAATAGCCAGTTTAATTTAATTAAAAATTCGAATAAATATGGTTTTTAGTGATTTCATTGACCACCAGATTTATGGAAACAAA